GAAAACATATATTCCAGATGAAGACCACAGAAAAGAAAACATATATTATATTATTCCACACGAATAAAATATTCAATAAACCAAATCAGTCATGCAAATTGAGAATTAGTGACAGTTTTTGCACTGATTGGGAACGAGAAATTTTTAGTTGTGAAGGGAACACAAGTGGTATACCACGTGTTTTAATAGGAGTGGTGGGAAATTCTATTTTTTAAGTTATTAACTTTTTAGCACACATATCTCATCATTTGTATAGTGACACATGATGTATCACCCCATGTACTAATCACATTGAAAAATTTCTTGTTGGGAACCAATATTTTGGACCATGTGACATGTTTTGGGTGGCCAATTGGGTAAAAATCTGAGCCCAATGGAACCCAATCAATTGTTGGCTTGGTTTGAATTGGGGACAAGCCTTTTTCTGTCATTTGGTGTGGTATCTGTCTCTATTCAGTTGGCATTTGTTTGCTTTTGGTGCATGTTGCAAAGGGCGGTGCTATCCATGCAACTTTTTTATTTTTTACATATTTTTTTTAGTTTTTGACCGTTGAATTGAATTGATTGAAGAAAATTAAAGGATGCAATTAACAAAGAGTATGTAGGAGATAAAAAACATTGTGGATAGCACCACCCTTTACAAAAAATATTGATAAAAAGCCGCACATCTATGAGAATCGTCACACAACCACATAGATATCAACATTGCTATTCACTTTTATTATAATGCGTTGATTAGTAAAATTTTGTAACAATGTAACTGTAACAGTAAAAAATTTCTCCATATCGGTCACAGTAGAGAATACTAATAGCAACGTGACATAAAACCCAAGAGGTCAAAAGCTGTTGATGGCAGTGATACATACAGATAGAGCACTAACCTCTTTCAGTTTCAGTTGCTTTTTGACCCTTCTAACGTTAAGAACTCCGAGACGATTTTTAAAGGGTTGTGCTATTATCACACCCTATTTTATCTTTAACATATTTTTATTAATTTTTGTACATTAATTTTCTTTAATTATTTGATTCAACAACTGAAAATTGAGACGGGTGTATGAGAGGTAAAACTAGGTATATGGATAGCACAACCCTAAGAGCAATTCCACCCCTGTGGACTTTGCGCCAGCACCCAGCGCATTTATCCACTCAAATGAACAGTAATAGACTGGAGTGAACAGTAATAGGCCAAGGCAACTCCACCCCTAAAAAAATGCGCTGGCACCCAGCGCATTTATTTGGTGTGTTTTTTTTTTAAGTTTATTTCGGATAAGATTTTTAACCCATTTAAAATAAAGAATAAAAAAATAAAATAGTTTTAATTTCGGATAGGATTTTTAACCAATCTCGTCACGCCACGTGTCATTATCTGAACGTACTATTTTGTGAATAGATTTCCGATATTATTTTCAACCAATCCCGACACGCCACGTGTCACTTCCATGGTACAATAATTTAGCCAAGATTTCGATAAGATTTTCAACCAATCACGTCATGCCACGTGTCATTATCCGAACGTACTATTTTGTGGATAGATTTTCGATAATATTCTCGACCAATCCTGACACGCCACTTGTCACTTCCGGTTTACAATAATTTAGCCAAGATTTCGATAAGATTTTCAACCAATCACGTAGTGCCACGTGGCATTGTCCAGAACCAACATTCACACAACGTAACATCTTCAATAAGCTTCCACGAAGACATTTTTTTCTCTCAAATTGTAGAAAATATTGATATGTAGAAAGTGTAGAAAGTGTAGAAAATATTGTAATGTGGTGTAAAGGTGGAAGATGAGGGTTAGATATTTATAGGAAAAAAATATAAATTTTTTAAAATTTTTCTGTATTTTTTAAAAATTTTCTGTATTTTTTAATAATTTATAATAAATTTTAATTTAGTTAATTAATCTGGACCGTTGGATTTGAAAAAAATTCAAATCCAATAGCTAAGATCACGCCACGTGGCCAACGGTAAAAAATCTGACCGTTGGGGCCTTTTATTTAATTTTTTTTCGTCTAAAACGTGGACCGTTGATCTGTGATCAAACGGTCCATTTTAAAAACTAATTTTTTAATTTTTTTTACCGTTGGAAATCCAACGGTCTAGATAAACTAGCCATTGGAAATCCAACGGCTCAGAGATTGCCCCTGGGACGGGACACAAGTGGGGCTGACAGCCCCACCTTTTCCTTGTCGGCTACTCGCCTCAGCTCCCGCGTGTTGTGCACGCGCCGTGTATTTTGCCCAGTTCCTGGGTCTGTCCGAAACAGGCTGGGCTGGCGCCTGGCTTGGGCTGGGTGCCAGTCAGCTTTGTGGGGTGGAGCAAATGGACTGAGGATTAGTTTGATTTTTGGACTGGGGGCTGGGACATTTGGAATGGGGTGGAATTGCTCTAAAGTCTAATGGAATATTTTTGCTCACCACCATAAACTAAGGTGTATGTTCATCACACCTAATCAATTGACACATGTCATTTCACTTAAACTTAGTCAAGTCATTATACCAAAGTTAACGCAACTTTTTGTGAGCCCGTCATTATTCAAGGACTAGATCCAAAGTAACTTTTCTGAAGACCCAGTCATTCAATATCCTTAAGTTGGAGTTAGCGCAACTTTTCGAAAGTTTAACTTAAGAAGACAAATTCGAGCCCATTAAATCCAGTCTAGGACTTGTTGAAAGAATAGTTTGCTCTGATATCATAATAAACTTTGTAGGCCCACGCAATTCCACCACCAACATCACCGATATTGTCCCAACTTATCCACCTATTAAGTGTTGGTTTGGCATAACTGGTAAGGAACTATGTCTGTCTTTTGAATTTTAAGTGTGTGTTTCAGAATATGTCCTCATTTGACTAACGAGAGGGAAACAGTTTCATTAGCTCTTTCACTGACCAATGTTCTGATACATGTTGTATAAACGTAGTTTTTGTGTTGTGCAGCTGCAGTTTTGTTATGTCAAAAGCTAAAAAGGGTTACTATACACGTTTAGTGACAGACCTGTTATCGAAGGAAGAAGATTTTCTGCATTTTGCTTCTCAATCCTTGGGTCTATCTCGAAGCAGATGTGTGAAGGTTAGAGGGAAAGATACGATTGAGCAAAGTTATGGTGTTTTTGGTACTTGGTAACAGCGTTGGAACCGGGCTTTCAGATTTCAAAAAGGAAATATTGAAGTCGTTGCTCAGGCAGGGTGTGAAGGTTCTTTCACCAGAAGTTGAAGAGCTATGTTGGAACGCCTACTCCCCGTCAACCATAGATTCATGGTTTTGAATTGTATGAAATGACTCTGGTTGTACTTTGATACTTATTAAAAATCAATAAATACGTCATGAAATTGTGTCGCGCCTGCTTTACTGTGAACTGATGTTATAAAATGTTCCTTTAGAATCTAACTAGTTCTTCCATGTTCACATTTCGTAGGTATATACATTGCTATATTCGACATCTGTTGATTTGATTCCATGTGGTTTGCCCTTTGATGCATATGTTAGTCCAAGCCTGTGAAAACGGAATCTGTACTTTGTTGTAACAGTATGTGTAAATGCAGATGCTAGGACTTGTTGTAGGTATTAGCCGGTTAAAATCACAGCTGAAGAGCAAAAAGCATCTGTTCTGCTAGAGGTGCATCACCGGATGTTGATGCTAGGAATACTCCCTCTAAGAGACTAAAGAAATCTTCGTCGTTCTCTTCAACCAGCCTTCCTGCACTTTCTACTACTACCAATCCCGAGTCTAGCAGAGAGGTTATCATTGTTATCAAATTACAGATTTTCCGTACTGGTGTTCGTTTGTGTTGCAAAACTCAGGCTTTGCAGTCACTGGGTATGCGCTGGTCCATGTCGTGTAGGAATTGATGGTTAAACTTTTCTAATGTTGTTTAGAACGGCGCTGAAGGCCACACAACAGAAACAGCTAGGTTTGTAGTTGGTGCCGAGGAGCCAAATGTGACTAACATTCTCCTTATTGCCTTTCTATTCATTCTACTGTGTCACATTCACAAGTGTTTTGAGTGTCGTTTAGCGATATTTTCATGCTCCCTATAAGGCTCTGCAGACCCTTATAGAGAGCATAGCGGGCAGGTCGAGGAGACAGTGAAGAAATATTCTGATGAATTTTCTGCAACGGTAACTATCTGAAATTCTTCTTTCTAGCGGTGCAAAGCCTGATCGAACTCCCTTTTCTGAACTGAAGTGATGTCTGTTTTTCAGCTAGGGTACATGGAGCTGCAGCTCAAAAAACTTCTTGATACTGTGATGTCCTCGTGCAGGCGCTTTTACAACGCAACCCAAATTCCGATTTTGTTCCTTGAAATTGTGAACAAGAACGAGAATTGGTTGGGGAAGTTATATGTTTACATGCAATTCCAAATTCCGTCGAATTTACTGCAACTGTCAACTTGTTTTCCAGGCCTATAACCCTTGGTGAGAAACACAAGCTTGGAAAGCTGATTCAGAAGTTACCCCCGAAATATCTTTGACCACGTTGTGGAAATGATCCTACATAGGAATGCAGCTTATACATCATCCGATGAAAATCGTGTGGATCTTGAAAGACAGGTAACGCGATGCACAGTTATCTGGTTTACGAGAACACTTTGGAGAGTGTTATTATGTTGAAGCAGTCGAGAAAGCTAGAAAGCTCGCCAAGTACGAATCCAGAGGAAGAAGTTCACTGTATCAGGGCTGAATTTTTCGTTCGCTAAATGAAGATAGCAGTCATCACTTGGACTACGAAATTTTGGTAAAAATACGCAGCATTTGCACATATAACCTGCCCTGCGAATCTGATGATTTTGACCGTTAAAAGCGCACAAGTGCATTCTTGCCGGAGCACCTCAAAGACTTAAGACAAACGCGAGACGGAGAGTTTTGGTGACCTTTTTTCGGTTTTTACAATTGTAATTGGCTTCATTTTCTGCAGAGCTTAGGTAGGGCTCGTACGTTGTACATATTTTACTGTATACTGACCAGAGAAAGTTATGAAATGTACCAGGCAAAGATATCCAGTAATCGTAATCAGATGAGAACGGAATTGCATTGGATTGATAAGCGTGAGAACGATACAGGCCATAATGTTTTCGACATGCTTGAGATACAAGACAGAATGATAACCTATCTGTATAAACATCAACTCCCTAAAAAAAATTTCTTGTCAAAGAAGAAATACAAGCTGCCAGGATCCTCTCCCAAAACTAAGCACCAATCTTACATTTAAAACGAGCCACGCCTTGGTCGCTCTTCTGCAACGTTTACTCGGATTGATCTGCCATCCAAACTCTGCACAGCAAATGGAGAACGAAATCAGGGTCTTTGTTAACTAATCGAGAGGCATCATGATAACAAACACGCAATTAGTTGCAAGGTGACTTCATTTAAATCTCTTTTATGAATTCCTAGGTCTGAGTAAACTCGGAATGCCCAATCAATCGCCTATTATCGTAATGTCTATGTAGTTCTCAGTTTCATGGCGTACTCTACAATGGGCATAAGCAGGAAATTTCAATACTCAATTAAACAGGGCAGGTCTATTACCTGTCCATCAAGGGCAGCAATGGCATCTTCCACTTCTGTCTCGCTAGAGAATGAAACAAAACCAAACCCGCGGGAACGCCCTGATTCGCGGTCATAAACTACCCTGGCACTAACCACCTTTCCATGTTCACTGAAAACCTGCTCCAAACGAGAATCATCCACTTGCCATGGCAGATTACCAACATAGATTCTGAATGAAGGTTCATTCGTTCGGATAGGCCTTTCAGGGCGCGACCCTCTAGGCGCAGCCTTGTTTACAGTCAAAGCCCTCCCACCTATGTCCTGTGTACGAACAAATGAAACATCAACACACTCGGTTTATCCAAGAGTGAAATTAACAAACCTTATCCTAAGTGGATTTGCACGAAAACAAGTTCATCCAGAATTATTTCAAAACTCATTCCTCGGCTATTTGCACGAAAACAAGTTTGATTACCGCGATTGAATCAATGTAATACCACTTTGTAATCGGAACCAAATATATCAACATACATGCTTTAGCTACATTTCTACTCTCTAAATCGAGCATTTTGAACATGATATAGTTCCTTTTTCGATACACAAAACCGAAACAAAGATTTGCAACTTACGTAACGGTGGAACAACTCCACAGCCTTCTCAGCTTCTTCGACAGTGCTCATAGTCACAAACCCAAATCCTCTGCTCTGATCAGTTTCCCTATTGTAAATCACCTGGTCATTGCAACACAAGAAAACAGTAACTCCAATGCTGAAATTTCAACCGCGAAATCGCAGAGAGCGAAAAAGAGACACGAAATTTACCTCAGCAATCTCAACAACTCCAGCATCATTGAAAAGATTAGCAAGCTTTTCACTGTCAACATCATAAGGCAAATTACCCACATAGAGCTTGGCCTCCTCCGGCGGCTCGGGATAGTATTCCTCTTCGCCGACCGCCAAAACTCCGTCGCCGGAGCTCTCCTCTGCTCCCTCCCCCTCAGCGCTTTCGGCCTCTTCCTTTACTTCCTCCTCCTGAGCCCAGTCGGAGGTCTGAGCCACGCGGAGGAGAGGCAAAGACTTGTGCTTTAGAGAGAGAAACGAGGAGAGAGAGGGAGTGAAGGAGCAGGAGATTTGTGCGAGCTTGGTGGGTTTTGAGAGGAGTGAGAGAACTGGGTATTGGTTTTTTTGCGCGAAGCGGGCGGGTGGCACGGCGGCGAGGCAGGTTTCGGAGATTGACAGTGGCTTCAGGAGAGCGGCGGTTGCAGAAGCCATGGCTAGAGAGAGAGAGAGAGAGAGAGAGAGAGAGGTGGAGGAGGGGATAAGGAATGAGAGAAGGGTTGGTTTGCAGGTGAAGGCAGTTGCTTTATTTTCTCGACGAAATCAAAGCTTGTATGACCGAAACGTTTCGGTAGGTATTTACTGTTACTTTCACTTGCGAACGACATGTCGGTTTATTCTCCTTCAAAATTAAGGCCCAATGGGCTACCTTCGAGTATAAAATGTTGGGCCGAATCACGAAAAAGGCCCAAAACTAATCACGACTTGTCGGACAAGTTTTCAGGTACCCCTTCTGTAAGACTACCCACCTCACTTTCTCGCTTTCGCTTCGTTCCAATTTACAATTTCACAGTGCCAGTTCTTCTCCCACATAAACCCTTCGGATTCGAACCCCCAATTTTCTTCCCCAAATTGCTTCTCTACGGATCGAGCATTCAGCATCCGAACGCCATCAAGTAAGCAAAGTTTCAAATTTATCGTTATTTTTTGGTAAATTTTTTGCCCTTCTATTTTCCTACATAGCGTAGAAGATTAGAGCTTTTTTTGGAATTTCATGTGTTATTTAATCAAACGAGGAAGATCTGATTCTTTGAGGTATGTTTTGATGTGGGTGTGATGCTTGAAGGGGAGGTTTTGCTGAAAACGTTTAGGGGTTCTGTTTGGATTGCTGTCTGCAATGTGTTTGATTAAATGCGCGAGAGAAAGTGTTATGATTTGATTAGTTTGTGAATCGTAAAGGCGAAAGGAGGGTTTTTTGGTTTGGATTTGGGTAGGATTTACAACCAACAACAACAAAGTCTTATTTCACTATCTAGGTTGGCTGTGTGAATCGTAGAATGCCTTTTGTGCCAAGTCTTCCGTTAGCTACAAGCACTCTATGTCTTTTCTTAAAATCTGTTTCCAAGTCTTCTAGGTCTTCCTTTACCCCTCTTTCCCTGAGCCTCTATCTCATAATCGCATCTTCTAATCGAAGAATCTGTAGGTCTATGGTTCACAAATACAAACCACATTAACTGATTTTCTCTTATCTTATCTTCAATTGCGGGTAGGATTTGATTCTGAAAATTGTCCTAACGTTGTATAAGATGTGTTTCTGTACCTTTTTTTCTCCCTCTCTTTGGGGTGCATCTTCCTGTACCTAATGCAACAGATTTTGTGGAATCGGAGTCCTAATTTGCTTTATTGACAGGTTTTAAATTCTAAGTTCTGGTTACGTGTTCTATCGTATATGTTTTCTCCATGAAATAGTTTATGACTAGCCTTAGGGTGTGGAACATTTGAACAGTACTTTATTATTTTCTATGGGTAGATACATGTATATTAAGGAGAATTATAGAAACCGAAATTGTAGGATAGTTTTAGAGTGAATTTTGATGTGATATTGATTTTTCAGGTTTAATTGGAACTAAAAAAGAAAACAGAAGATGTCTCAGGTGGCGGTAGATGTTCCCAAGGGGGGATTCAGTTTTGATCTTTGCCGAAGAAACGACATGCTTGCAAAGAAGGGAGTTCAGCAACCATCTTACAGGAAGACAGGAACGACCATTGTTGGTTTGATTTTTAAGGTACAAATGCTTTCCACTGTTTAATTAGCAATTGTTTCGCCACTCATATATTGGTTAATTTTTGTGATTCATTCTTTAGGATGGTGTCATTCTTGGAGCTGATACAAGGGCCACCGAAGGACCCATTGTTTGCGACAAGAACTGTGAAAAGATCCATTATATGGCACCCAATATCTACTGCTGCGGAGCTGGAACTGCTGCTGATACAGAGGCTGTAACAGGTAAAGTCGGGATTGTTGATTAATGATTACTCTGGCAGTCTCTGTCGTAGCTAATTTGTTGCTCTATTGAACTCTAGATATGGTGAGCTCACAGCTGCAACTGCATCGCTACCATACTGGTCGCGAATCCCGGGTTGTTACAGCCTTGACCTTGCTCAAGAAACACCTTTTCAAGTAAAGTGTTATCACTTCTCAGTTTAGAAATTGCAGGAATAACATGTATTCCTTAAATATAAGCATAGTTTAATTCTAACTCCCATCATTTTTATCCAGTTACCAAGGTCATGTGTCAGCTGCTTTGGTGCTTGGGGGGGTCGATGTCACTGGACCCCATCTGCACACTGTAAGTTCCTTCATGCTTCAGACTTTGGATGTGACAATGTATTTTTCATTTTTTGGGCCTTGCATAGTGATTTGATGCCAACACCAATGCTTCAAATTGTAGATATATCCCCATGGATCGACCGACACGCTGCCATTTGCTACAATGGGTTCTGGTTCTCTTGCTGCGATGGCCATGTTCGAGTCTAAATACAAGGAAGGCATGACTGTAAGTTAGCATCATAGGAATTGAAAATTTAACTTCTTTGAATGGTACTATGAATCTGTGGATAGTGGATACAGATAATGGACAACCTTAATTACTGTTCACTCCTAATTAGTATTCTATTATATGATTAGTAGTATCGAGTCAGTAACATCCTCATTTGGATTTCTCGTTCATGTGTTTACTTTGATGCAGAGGGATGAAGGCATAAAGCTTGTAACTGAAGCAATATGCTCTGGAATTTTCAATGACTTGGGAAGTGGAAGCAATGTTGATGTTTGTGTGATAACTAAGGTTTGCTGTTTCTCATCAGTATTCACCATTTTCAATGGAAATGGGCAGAGAGTATTAATTTTGTATTAATACAAATTATTTGGTACATTTTCGTTGGCTCAGGGACACAAGGAATACCTGAGGAACCACTTGGTGCCCACCCCTCGTACCTATGTCAGTGCAGAAGGCTATAAGTTTACCAAGAAGACTGGTAAGAAACACACTTCTTTCACTTGGCTTTCTAATCATTCAACCACACATTGTCGCTCAGCGTTACACAATGCTTGTCTTGCATAACATAAACTTGATCATTCAATTTTTCTATCATATATGAGAAATTTCATGCCTCCATGAACAGTGCATTAAAAAAGTGAGTGAAACGTTTTTTGAATCTGTTGTGTTTTCTTCTGTGACAGAGGTTCTCTTCACAAAGATCACTCCGTTGACCGAGAAGGCGGTAGTGTTAGAAGGAGGCGATGCAATGGAAGAATGAAACCACCACTTCACAAGGAGCATGTGAATGTTCATGTAATTCAATTTCCAGGGTATCCCAACTTGTTATATGTGGATTGATCTCGTTATACAGATTCAACAACCGCTATTTTATTCGTTGTGAACTCATGAAGAATTATTGGCATTTTCCAGACTCTGAGATGTTATTAAGTTCTCGTGCTTTTAGCTTATCTTTGACGAGAAGAATGCTAGCAATTTTCTCGTTTGGACCTTCTCATTCCATTTTTCATTTCCCTTTACGACCTTACTAGTTTTCTTGATTATCCAAACTGATTAAAAAGCCGGTATGAGAGAGAGTGCCATTGGCTTGTCCCTCACACCACAATGACGTTCGTCATCTTCAACCATCTCCACTTCGATTTGCAGTCACTGCTTACCACGATCTGTTGCGGCTCCTCGAGAGAGTGTGTCGAGCTTCGGTGTTCTCACCGGCTCAGGTGTTCCTAACACCACCACTTTCTCACTGGTTGCTGCCATTGTTGGCAGCGTTGCTCAGGTATTGCCACGAGCTTCTTCTACTTTGTGATTTGTTTTTTCCTTTGTGGTTGCGTTCGAAAAGTTGCTTGCGGCTGGTTGATGTGATTGGAGAGGCGTTTGTCGGTTAGAGGCGTGAAAGCCTCCTATGTATTAGCTCTTTGTACTTTATTGCTTTTGCCTTGGAATATTATTTCCAGTTTACCAAAAATAAAAATAAATAAATAAATCACGATTCCTAAACAAGTTGTGTCGAAATTTGTAGAGCTAGGATCCAAGTTCGACTAGGTATTCTTCAACTAATTAAAAAGATTTTATATTCTAATAATTAAATTCTTAACAATTAAGAAATTTAATTCGTTTAGAAATGATATTTTAATTAAGACTTTTAACTTTGAAGAATCAAATTTGAAAATGTATACCACATTATTTTACCATCTTAAGTGGCAGATGAGTTGGACAAGTTACATCATTTAATTTCAATTTTCTTATTAATTAAGACACTTAAATAAGGAAAATTGCAAACTTCAAGATCTCCTTCTGGCGTTGGTAACTTAATTGGGTATGAACCCTAATTTGATAGACAAATTTGATTTTAACTCCTAATTCACATGAAAGCTAATAGGTGTTACTTAATGAAATAATCAGAGGAAATCCTTCTTTTAAACCACAAAAAAATATTTTGAAAAGAAAACAAAAAAAAAAAAATCACGAGATGAACAACCATGGAGTACCATTGAAGATTGGAGATAGAAATATTTGAAGGGGAATGAGAATTGAGGCGACGGGGCATGAGTCTGAAGATAGAAATTAATGATGATTGTGGTATATGAGTAAATTCTATAAAGATTGACCATAATCATGGAAATCAACAGAAGTCAATAAAAAATTGGGGTGAAAAAGAAAGGGGAAGGAAGAAGGAGACTCCTAGTATATCACAATCATCATTTAATTAACAATCTTTTTATTAATTATTGGTTAACATTTTGAAATTAAATGCTAATTAATTTAGATGATGTGGCTGTCAATATCAGATACCATTAAGGTGGTATATAATTGTGGTATAAAAATATGTTAAGAATAACATTATTGATTCCTTATTGTACAAGAGTTGTAATATTCACATTTATCAATGAAACACATAAGGCCATCTTCAACCGATGGCTGGCCATCCTCCTAAATTTGCCGCTTGGTCTGCAGAACAAGGACCAAAAAGTACAAATATGTACCCTCCGACGTGTTGCCGAACATTCTTTCCAGGCTGCCTGTGAAATCTCTGAACCCTGGTATGATCTCATCGAAGACCCGAATTTCGCCACCCAACACCTCCATCACTCCAAAAGCGTGAATCAGCATTGTCTCCTTCAGAAAGAAGGTATACGTAATAGTCATGTCTCCATCAATGGTCATCTCTCGGTCTTTTATGAAATTTTGGGTCCTTGCAATGGAATCTACTGCTTCATAAGGCCTGATGACGAATTCGATTTGGATCTTATTGCACTGGCAAATGTTTCACTCAGAGAATTCAAGGTTGTTTCAGACTTCTGCATCTTGCATCCTCACGCCCAACGCCAACGCGTCAATCAACGGGGATTTGGTTTTGGTCGTAAAACCAATGACTACAAGTTGGTTTTAATTCTCAGTTACGCAGATGGAGAAACAGGGATCGAATTCAATCATAATCGTAAGGAGGTTGTGTATAGCTTGCGTTAATTCATGGAGAGAATTAGATCGTACTTTTCCGTATGCTGCAATTAGCCATTGGGATCTTTGATTAGTGGCAGTGGCACCTATGTCAACGGGAATTCTCACTGGTTGGCCACTCCAGGTTCGCCAACAATGATCTTCGTTATGCAATTCTTTATCTTGACATGGTTGATGAAGTATTCCGACTGATTTCCCTTCCAAAGTTACGGGATTGTGGTTGTTCGTCCAAAGAGTTACATCCCTGACAAGACTTGTGATGTATGGATTTTACAACACTACAGTGACGATGAATCTTGGACTAAACTGGTTACGATAGGGACAATTGAAGGCGTTGCAAGGTCATTGCATCTGTCGGGGATTTCAGCAATTTCGAGTTTACGGACCATTGCGACCCTCCTCAGAGAGCTTGGTTTCAATCATAGGAGATCAACGCGACGACCAAAATATGTTGTTTGATATAGTTAAGGAAAGTGATGATCCAACTCTTCCACAACCCTCATCTTCATGAGGATTGTTTAGTTCGTGTTTAATTTATTGACTCGTTGATTTGTTTTGTTGTTAGGTTGCCGGATTGTCAAAGAAATTTCAATACCTTCTTTTGCTTTGTTGATATAGTATTTGGCTTAGGCTTATTTTCAACGTAATACTTGCTGGATATTTCGAAGTATATGGTATGGTTCTTACCTATTGGGACCAAAACATTAGCATGTATTTTTGTCTTCTAATGAATACAACGGTGTGTTTGCAATAAAGAGCGTCGAATTTGAGCTAAGAAATACAATAAACATGGATAATAATTTGTATCGAACTTGCCTAATACACCTCACATGTTTCTTTTACTTAAACTTTTGATGCTTCAATCCATTTGCCTCCAACCTGAAATCTAATTCACACATTCTCATTGTTTTCTTCAAGTTTAAGAAATGCCAAAGTAATGTATTTTACTTTCTAATAAAGACATTGGTAATTCAATTATTGTGAGGGTTTTTCGCTAGTGGATATTAGAGCCGGCAAATCAATCTATTATGTTGTTAATGGGTGATCATTCACTTTCAAATAATTTAATTTTACCATAATATGATAGTGACATTGATAATGATGATGATGGACCGGTTTAATATGGTAACTCAATGACATCGCATCATATGAAGCCAAAAAGCTAATCATGGACTTAAGTCGATTATATTACGAGCCACGCAATTTAATTAATCGAAAAGTCTATGCAGATGATTTGTTATTAGTTTTCTCTTCTTCGGATACAATTAAACAACCATAAAGTGAAAATCATCATGCATTCATCGAGATCGCCTTCAAAGTCTTCCTTCTCCAATAACTATCCTAAACCTATACACCATAATAAATCCAACGAAAAAGGGTTTCCGTTGGCGTGTGGGTGATTTATACGTTACACGCCCTCATTAAGTTATGTTAATTATAAAAATAAATAAATAATAATTTAGAAGAGTACAAAACAGTAATCAGGCGGGCGACACCAGCAATACAAGGACAGCGAGGCCATTTCTTCCACTTCTCGTTCTTCTTCCTCGTTCTCCCTCCGATACGACGTCGCTCTAACCATGTCTTACGACTACCTCTTCAAGTACATCATCATCGGCGACACAGGTCCCCCAATTTCTCCAATCCCTAGCTTTCTGATTTTTTCTTGATTTTTTGAATTTGTTTGTTTTGAGAATTGAGGTTTTAAGACAATTGGGTTTTGGGTTTTTGGTTTGGACTGTGCAGGTGTTGGAAAATCTTGCTTGCTGCTGCAATTCACGGATAAGAGGTTCCAGCCGGTGCATGATCTCACCATTGGTGTCGAGTTCGGAGCTCGGATGGTCACCATCGACGGTCGTCCTATCAAGCTCCAGATTTGGGACACCGTGAGTTTCTTTTACTTCCGGTCTTGCTTTCTGTTTGGTTGGTGAGAAAATTGAGAATTGGGTTTATGATTTTGCACTACTCTTAATTGTTAATTTGCCATTTTGTAAGTTTTAGTTGTATATGCCTGTAACATGAGAACATGTTGAAGATTTTGAATTTTCGATGGACCCGGTGTTATTCGTGTTTGTGTAATGGAAAAAGTTCCATCTTTTTACTGCTTTGGACATCAAAAGTAAATTTAGTTGATTCTGGCTTGTTGGGTAGCCATAGAACTGATGTTTTCGGCTTTAGTTTTCTTGTTTGCATTATGTTGGTAATTCTCGGGTGAAGTTGTGTATTCTAAGATGTATTCAAGCAGTTGCGCTTAATGTATTTAATTCCAGACTTGGCGGAAAACCTGAGTTCGTTCTAGGATTCATACAGCCAACCCAATTAATGGGATAAGGCTTGGTTATTGTTGTTGTATTTGTTGCTGTTTCTTACTAGTGCTATGAATATGCTTAACTTCTGAAGCAAGGATCCTTGATTTTGCATTTCAGGCTGGGCAAGAATCTTTCCGATCAATCACTAGGTCTTACTACAGAGGAGCAGCTGGAGCACTTCTGGTCTATGACATAACCAGGTGGGCGGGTGTAAATTGTGTGCGTTTGTAACTTATGTCAGAAATGCATATGAATCACATACCGAACTTACGGTTGTTTCAGCTTGGTACCCAATATTTTGCTTTGCGTCCTTTTTCTATTTAACATTGTGCGTACAATATTTGTAATATATCAGTCTTCCTGTTGCGCAAATTAAGAAGCTATTCTAAACTTTGTGTGGTACATATTTATAAGTTGTTGCAAAGGCAATTGGAAGTGACATTTTTTGAAAAGATAGGAACCCCTGCGGATGCATATGTTTGTTTTCCACAATTCTGTATATATGACTCAACTAAAGACAGGAGTGTTAATAGATGTTTTGCTCTCCAGGAGAGAGACATTTAATCATCTTGCAAGCTGGTTAGAGGATGCCCGGCAGCATGCAAATCCTAATATGACAATCATGCTCATAGGGAACAAGTGTGATCTGTCTCACAGAAGGGCTGTCAGCAAAGAGGAAGGAGAGCAATTTGCAAAGGAGAATGGGCTTTTGTTCTTGGAGGCATCTGCAAGAACGGCACAAAATGTCGAGGAGGTGATGTACCCTCAACCAATTCAAACCAGTACTCTAATTCAGTGTATTGTATTTGTTACTTGTGATTGACATGCACAATTTAGAATGTTTAAGCTGATTAAGTAACATATTTTCAGGCCTTCATAAAGACTGCTGCAAAGATTCTTCAGAATATTCAGGAAGGCGTATTTGACGTATCTAATGAGGTAACTGTCCATTCATTTGTCGTGGGAAATTGTAGCTTATAAGAGTTGGGACGTAATGCATAATTTTTCTTTTAATTACATCCTGAAAAGGGATGAGTCTGCTTTCTTTGATCTCGTTAACCATAACTAACTTACTGGATCATCCGATCGTATAAATTTGACCTTGTAGCTTCCATCTAAAGCTTGAAAATTAAGGTTTTTGTGATGTTTGCAGTCATCTGGCATCAAGGTTGGATACGGACGCCCCCAAGGTCCATCAGGCACGGGTGGAACGGTTGCTCAGAGAGGCGGATGTTGCAGCTGATTAGAACCGGCTCTGTATTATGTTCGTTGGACAGAATCTCCCAACTGTCCTGCTGCTACATTGTGAAAACATTGAATGTACAGATCTAAGTGCTTGGATAGATTTCATCTTCTTTTCAGGGATTCAACCGTTTTAAATGTTGAAATATTTCTTAACAGTGGTAATCCCACGTTGGAAACATCGGTTAAGGTTGTGTAACTGTTCTTTGTTTGTCTGTCTAATTTCCATAAACGAACGTGATGGCATGGTTATTTTTCGTTATGATCCCCGATGTAACGCAATGTGAGGTCGCCGGAATGGCCGGAGGCATGTCAGTGCCGGTATTTGTACCTTAAAATTGCCTTGTTGATTAGTCGTTTCGACCTTGAAAGGATTAGCTCCTAAAATGTTTGAAATGTTGAGGAGAGTTTTCCAACTCAAGGCTCAAGCGGAAACATAAATCGTATGTGTTAATCACGTAGAACTCGAAAAGTTTCGAATCGAAACCTTACAATCCAAGAAACAATGCAAAGAGAACAAGATTCAACCATAAAAGATCCGTTATATGATTCGACTCCAAATGATGTCCTACAAGTTTACAGCTCCTCCAGTTGAGGTATGCCAATCCATGAAAATTTTGAGCACTATGAATCGCCAAATACCTGCAAACGGATCACGAAGTAACATACAGTAGTCAACCAACAGATAACATACGGTAGTCAACCAAGAAAATACGTATTATACGAGCAAGTATTAAGCGACGGATCAATAAATAACATACGGTAGTCAACCAAAAACACGATGCTTACCGATGACAGTACATCTTTAGAGAGCCGAGGTTTGGTTTTTGCATCATTATTTGCTACAGGTTTCTTCTGTCGGAACCGGCGAATTACCTGATGTTCCGGCTGGCTACTAGGGAGATCGGGATTGCCGCCTGAATCTTCTTCGATCCTTTGCCTCTGTTAGAGAAGATGAAACCGATTATGTGCAACGGACTAGCTATAGAGACTTAGAGAGAAGGTAAAATGTCAATACAAATTGGTGACAGCTGCACTAAAACATATTCCTCTCCTACTTTTTCCATCAAATGAACCCTCTGCTTAGGATATAAGAAAAGTACCTTCATCAATCTTTCATCTATGGCACTCAAAGCACGGGACTTCTCAACTTTAGTGAGATAGAAATCACGCTCCTTCTTAGCAGCAGAAATTTCTAAAGCTAGTTTTTGCTCCCGAGTGGCTTTCTTGTAAGCTGCAATCAAACATTGCCGAATCAAGAACCAAGTAACGATAACGAAGCACAATGACAAACAAAAACCCAATCGTTAAGAGCCCGTACCAATCTCTTCGGTAAGATTATCCCACTTGAATTTACTCAAATACTTGATGTTCCAAAGATCATAGTAGAAAGATGATCTCTTCTTCCCACCTAAACATAACAAAACAACCACACAGTAGAAATGTTTCTGAGAAGAACAACGGGAACACGCGCGTCGATAAAACAAGCTGTAAGAAGTTTAATCCTCTAACAAAAGATTGTAATTTTCACATAATTACCTATCTGTTCACCATTTAACATATTGGCAACTCTCTTAGCAACCCTTTTGTCAGAAAATTCAACCCACCTGCATTTGCAAATAATTAGCGATTCTACGACATACCCATCTGAAAAATCAGATTTTTAATCGAATGAAGAAAAGCAGTTTAATGCTTTTTAAGACATACCCTTCTGAAAAATTTTGCCTCTGAAATTTACCAGCTTTGATTTGAACGTGACCAGAAGAATCTTGGGGTGCAAGATAAAGCCTCTGTATCTCTCCGTACTGAGAGAGCATCTGGCGAAGCGTCGACGGATCCATGCGCGGCGGAATCCGACCCAAGTAGCAAACCCCTCGCTGCTTCTCATCCTCCCCGCCTTCCTTCATCGATTTCTTCCTCTTGTTCTTTCTTTCGATTTCCATTCCCAATTTCCCACCCTAATTCCGTTCCCTTAAATCCTAATACGCCGAAGAAGAGTGCGGCGATTCGACGGCGGTGGAGCTCTTGCTCTGCTGCTCGGTCTCTGGGACTGTAACTCTCTCTCTCTATCTTCCTAAGACGGCTTCTTCTTTACGAGCTTACACTTGACACGCACCGTTTTGTGTTTCTCATTTATTTGATTGGGCTTTTACTGTTTTCCCGAAGGGCCCAAACGATAAGGTCAGGCTTTGCTCAAGGGGCCCAAAACATAAGGTTGGGGCTTAGCTCAAGGGATGAAAGTGAAACCGTGTGCTTCTAAGGAAACTATAACGCAATTTTACTAATTTACGTATTATAATATGAACGAAAGATGGTTGCTATTAGATCTGACATTTTGAACTTGTCATGTTAATATTAGTATTTTGATGGATGCTTAACGGATCGTGTCGCTAACGGGTGAACCCGTTAACAACTTGTTAAATAACGGGTCACTTTGGATCAATCTGTTAGCACCTGTTAACACCGTTAGCATCCGTTAGTTGAGGATGTTTTAATAATTTCAGTAAAGTCTTAACAACAAAAAATAGACTCTATGCAAAAATAATAATAATAATAATAATTGTTAACGAGTGAAACGGATGACCTGCTAGCTTAACGGGTTGGGTTCAGATGACCCGTTAGCTTAATGGATCGGGTTCGGATGACCCGTTAACTTGACGGATCAGATTAAACCCGACCCAAAATCGATAAACCCGACCTGTTTACAGGTCCAATTGCTATGCTTTTTTACCCCCGATATGTTACAAAGCTAAAGTGTGGATAACATTAACATATAAATGCATGTGTATTGTAACACATATCACTACTGGTAGTGTGGTCGCCACACCGAAAAATAGCTCGAATTCGTAGTTTCAAAACTTCAAAGAGAATTGAGCTTAACATTGCAGGAGGAAAAAATTTCATTATTCACACCACCCTTCAAGCATCCAGAAAAAAATTAACGATTAAACTTCAAAACGCGATGTACCCCGGCGTTTGGTAACCCTGAGCGTTCGATACCAGGACAAAACGATGCCTCGTTTCCTTTGAAACAACATTAATGTCACTAAAACAGTGAAAGTCCACGAAACAACTGCTCCTCGGAGCAACTTTCGTCATTGTTTACCTAATAGGTCGTCCAGGCCCCCTTCTGTCGCGAAGGTCATTGTAAGTCTTCGTAACATGTTGCAGTCGTGGATCATCTTCAGGAATCTCACGTTTCTGCCATTTCAGAAACAGAAACGAAGGAAAAATTTGTCAAAAACACGACAAAGATGGCGCATTGAGTCCAATTACTAGGATTTTTTGTTAGTCAGAGATGTACAAACTAATAAATCAGAAGGCCAGAGACTCACTTTTAAGCCCTTGTAATATGCTTCTACGGAAAGAAATTGCGGAACTATTTTACGTGCATCCATCAGGTCCCATATATAGTTGGCAACGCTATAACCTCCGGTCTGCAAAAAAGAACACGAAAGATTTATAGCAAGACAACCAAAACTAATGCAAAATACAGAGACCCAGAACAGGTGAAGAATTCTGTCATTCTTTATAGCAATATAGCAACTAGAGATAACTCTTAAGTTGCGCACCTCGTCACCAGCAGCTGCAAGGAGAAGATCACTCCCCATTTTCGGACTCAAGAAAAAGCTCCGGGAGTTCATATTCACCTACATTGGAACATGAAAATCATAAAATGATTTTGACTGAAGCCATGATTTGAAATATCAAAAACTTGATTTAAGAATTAGAAGTCGTGCAATAGACCAACCATACCAGTGTTTCTTCGGCAATTTTCATTCCCTTGGGAGTATATCCAATCATGGCCCCCTCCACAAGCGTCTACAGAAACATAGTTTGCGTAAATTAGGGTATACATCTGAATGATAAAAAGACTAAGAACACATTAAGTGAACAATATATTAGTTTTGTTTGTCAGAAATGCTAAAACAAAGCATCAGAACACAATAAGTTATGATAAGAAAAGACTAAGAACAAACAGAAGCTAGCCAGACAACACAAAATCAAAGGAACAGTGTCTATATATGAGGAAAGAAAGTGATGTTTCATGAGTCATGACACGAAAATTGTGTTTGTTGCCTAACGCACCGTATATAGTTCTACTACAGGAGGCTTTCCTGACTTCATATAGTCTTCAAAAGTTTGAACACCACGGTCAATGTCCCCTGAGTGTAGATAACACCTGAATAAAAAAAATTAGCAGTGAAGACAAAACGGACACAGAATGAATTGAGGTTATATTAATGCACGAGCAAGACAATGCCATCTTACTAAAACACGTAGTGCATTCTGATCAAAATTTTGTAATAAAAAGTTACTTACCTCATTATTTGCAACACAATAAATAAATCAGGAACTTTTCCGTCCTTTGCTAGCATCTCCCGAAGAGCTTCCATCACCTAGCATAATTAACAGAAGTGAAGACATAAGAATAAACTTTTATGGCAAAGGGAAAAGAGAAGGGAATCTTATTAAGTAACTTAATTTATGATGGTATTTTTTATCTGTAAACTCAAAAATACTTGCAATAAGTGATAAAAGAGGCTAGTTTCAAACCATACGGTAATTCTTCATATTTTGATTTGCTACATGATAAAAGAAGATAACTAAATAATGCTAGGGAGTATGAATCATGAGAGGCAACAAGCTTTGTCATAAAACTTAAAAACCATTTAGTGCAACATCCATGCATAGAGTGTTATATTGTCATGCATGGATATGGGTATTGCCCGATAACAAAAGAGTGAAAGTACAATATCAATAAACCAAGAAAAGAACCAGAAGCAAACAAAATACACATGGTTTTTTTGGTGGCGTTAAGCTGAGATAATCGAGATGTGAGATATTACCTCTACATTCCGGAGGTCTGCGCAAGCATTGAACGCAGCATGATACACTGTTAGTTGCCTATTCAGAAACCCACCCCTATGAGAATATTCAGCTGTTGGCATATTATACAACTCTTCTTCCGTTACACCCATCATCACATTTTCAGCAGTCATACTTGATCCTTCAACTGATGACCACTCTTTTGACCGCTCAACAAACTCTATAATCTTTGTGCAAAAGGAGAATATAAGAGAACTTTGAACAGAAACAAAATGAAAGAATACTAAGCAGAGGGGAAACGATTAAATATTTACTTTGGTGCCGAAGTCATCTGGTAAAGGGGTCTTGTTCCTAAGTGCAGTTACAAGTCCAGCGTAGCAGAACCTGTTTAGTCCAAGACCAGCAGCAGTCATGTCACGGACAATTGCATACCTGCATCAACAACGCAATGCACATTAACCGCAGGAGGAAAAATTAACCATTGGAACAACGAAACAAGCACGGAAAGCCAGAGCATAAAAGAAGCAGCATACACTCGATCTAATCGGCCAGTAGCTGCACACGCATTGAGCAGACACATGTAGGTCTGTACCTTGGGTGACACTTCATAGTTCTTCATGTCTTCCAGAATCTATTAAAATATATCACATCAAGACATACCCACATTCCCTTGTTAATGATCAGAAGGGCTAATAAACAGCGAAAATCCTAAAGCACATCACTTTATGGCATACAATAACCAAAAGGAAATCAATTTGAGGACCAGATATCGGTTAACAATCCAACAGAATTTAGCGGGTTGGATCTAAGCCGCTTAAAATGCAATGTATACTATGCATCGATGTTCAATATAGCAGTAATCTTATAAGTAGGCAGTAAAAAGCCGCACCTGAATCGCTTGATCAGAGTGCTTGCACTTCCCACACAGTGTGATCAGAATGTTGTACATATTAACCTGCGACAACCCAATCGAATCAACATCCAAACACTCGCATTTCCGATATAACGAAACGAAAACGCTGATACAAATTTAAACAAATGACATACATCAGGGGCCAAGCCCATGGATTTCATCTGGTCAGCGAAGAAGAAAGCGTCCTGCAAGCTCGACCCTTTGAGGGTGCCCAGTATGAGCGACCGGAAGGTGTCCTGATCGGGCTGGACGCCGTCGAGCATCATATCCTCGTACGCATCCCTCAGCAGGAAATGCTTCCTCTGAGCGGTAAGGGAATTGAAGACGCTGTTATACTCCGACAAGTTGTTGGCGTAGTTCCTCTTCGCGTATTCCTCCGTCTTCACCGCCGCGAAGTACCGCCGTCCCAGGGCTCGCAGCGCCGGCCGACACTGACCTGCAGCAGCGTGATTTAGTATTAACATTCAAATCTTAAGGTCTCTGGCTATGGAGGAGATGGACTGTACCAGTAATGGATTGAAGGAGTCTCATCGTTTGCTGTTTCTGACTCGCTGTGTGACTCGGTGAGTGAGTAAGTGAGCGAGTGAGACGAGTTACTCTGTTTCTAAAACCCCCCAAGTGCGCAAACCCTCTTCCCTTTCCGCCTCCGCCGTTTCTTTCGTTCGCTGGCTTCAACAGCTAAACGCACCGTTTTTCATGCGACTTTTGCGACTTGGGATTCTTATGGACTACATTGAAATGGGCCTGTGTATTAGAGCTCCTTATGTTGTCGTGGTCTATGTATGAAGCCCAAATGCGGAGCTCAAATTAAGCCCGTTTGGTAGTTGGGACTGGACACAATTAGGGTTTGGTTCCGTTCAGTGCCTAAATCATCAATAATGACGTTTTTATACAACGATATATTTACACTAAACCGTTGATAATCATTTTATCAAATTGATACTAACCAAATACCATTGGTTTAGATCTTAAACTACCTAAAAGAGAATTCGAATTTTAGTGCAGAGTATGAATCATGCGCTCATCTCATTAGCTCGCCTCATCAAAACCTAGCCATTGAATGGCCAGATCTTTCTTTCTCTTGAATAGTTCAGATTTTTTAATCCGCTGACTACGGATGCAGAGATCTAGAGAAGATCTCAATTCTTAATAGATATAGGTTTATTTACGAATTGATTGATGAACTTCAACATTGTCATTACTCATTGCCCTACATAGGTAGCAGTAAGCATATATTTATTTATAGGCCATAACATGCAACTCCCTGCTGCCAAATCCCTTTCATATTTATTTGTGTTTGGTACAAACTCCAAAGTATACAAACAGTGCATGTGCATAATAAAATCTTGATTGTTTTGATTCATTTAATCGAAGAGTTGGTTGTGATTAAAGGAAAAGGATCCTAGCCGGATTCTTTTATTGGGATCTAGAGAATTCATCAATCATGATCGTTTATCGTATATTGTGCGATTAGAAATCATTTAAAATTGAATATAAATAGTATCTAACGAAAATTGATCGCACGATTTATGATGAACGGCCGTAATTGATGCATCCCCCGAATCCTTACAAAGAGTATCCGGCGAGGATCCTTTTCCGTGATTAAATCCCAATTGCAAATTGCGAAGTGCCAATGTCCCATCTTACCGAGAAATTTAAGAGTGTGCCAAGAAATTTAACAGTGCACCGAGAAATTTAACAGAGTTAGTTGTGATTAAATCCCAATTGCAAATTGTGAAGTGCCAATGTCCCAATTGCAAATTTCTTCATTTTGTCCTATAATATTAAGGGTAATATTAGGGAGATCAAAATTTTAAATCAACTTATGTAAACCAAATAATGTGGTTGTTGATGATTTGATTATTAATTAAGTATTGATTAACGTGCTTATTTCTTGTTAATAACACATCATTTATTTTGCAAATTTGATTTAAAAATTTGATATCGCTAACATTATCCTAATATTAAAGGAACTTACATAATCACTTGTTTAATGAATTTTTCGTGTGATAATCTTTGTATTTAACCATTAATAATTAGTTTATGTAAATTGGCAGAAATCTTTTGGTATACCAAGAATACAAGGCAGTACACGACTTGTTATAATATAAGTGAAAAAGATATTAAAAATATAACTATATCGCCTATAAAAATTTCTCGTAAATTGGTGAGAGTCATTTCCCTTAGAGGACCCTCAAAAATTCAATTGATACTAACTTATATGTATAATCCAAGTGATCAGATAAACACAATATTCTAAATTAAGTAGGATACGATTCAAATTTAAATAGGATTAAAGGAGCGAGCACACTCTTTTTATTAACTAGCATAACTCAAATTTGCATAATATGTTGGAATTTGGTTGTATTATTAAGTGCTTATGAGCGTTATGCATAAAAACAACCAATATTTGGGACCAAAAAAAACTAAAAAAACCTATCAATATTAAAAACAATGCCGACCCTAATGGAGTGCAGGTGGTGCCACTATCGATTCTGAAGGGATTAGCGCACAAGCCCCAACCTACGCCCCAATTTTAATTTAAAGAACACAAATATAATATAACAAGTACTCTTTGATGTATGACCGGATGGATTAGGCAATGTTGTTGCTTGGGAGGGCATAGGGTTTGTTGAATTGAAGGGAGTGATGAGTAGGAGTGCCCTTGTTGTGAAGGGCCTTCAACGAGGAAGGGTTGATCTGCAAGAACAAATAGTTTCCAGCAAAAAGATCACCAAAGTGTGACTGCCCTTCTTTAAATCTCCTCACCACCTTTGCATACAGAGCAGAAACCACCTTCACCTTCCTCCTCAAGAACAGCAACCTCCTCAGGCTCGGAACTTTGAGCTTGAACGATCTCCTCCGAATGTGAGCCCTTCTGAACGATCTGAACCTGCACCAACTAGTAGTAGCTTTGTTTGTCCTTGATCTCACCACCACTCGGTTCTTTTCGAAATCGAACTCGTCTTCGTCGAGATCGTCGTCATGTATGAGTCTTTGGTAAGCAGGGAGCTTGGTGGAAGAAGAAGATGAGGTCATTGGAGAAAACTTCAAATGTTGTTTGGATTTGGATAGGAATTGTGAGGGATATGAGGTAATGGTGTTTGTGTTGAGTAGTTGGTTTCTTTCTTTGGGTTAGGGATAATAATGTGATGGACAAAGAAATAGGTGGTTCGAAGAATGCATTCAATGAAAAAACAAAGTGGTCAGTTATTTTGAATTTGCATCCTCTTCCGACGTCATTGTTCAGAGCCTAAGAACCAAGAAATTTGGACCGTTAAATAAAAAGAAATAGAGATTCGGGGCCTTGGCTTGTGTAAGATGGGTAGCAGAATAAATTAATGGGACCGTCAGATTTCCTGCTCCTTAACCGCAAGGTAGTGAAATCCATGGAGGATCTTTGGCCAATTATTTTTTGGTAGCAAACAAGCAAAGCATTTAAGGTGGTGAGGTGAAGTTAATGCTATAACTAATACCAACCCTTTCATGTATTGGTATAGCGTGTAAATTCACTCAAATTATAATACACGTCAAGTACAACAAAATTTTCTTCTAGGGTTATTCCACAGGTGTAATCAGTGAGAAGAAGCTTAGCAGTTCAACTAGAGAAGCGACCAGTTGGTTCACTCAACCTCGACCTAGCACCACACGTTCCCCACGTCTGGAAGGATTCAATGCCCAATAACTGACTCGTCCCGGAATTACGTTATTAGGGCCGACCGACTCAGAAATGGTCGTCATTGTACTCTGGTGCACATCATATCAAATTTATGTCCTAACTGATATTTCGTTCACTCATGTTATAACGTTAATACTTATATTATAGTTTGTAACACGTAAATTAGTAACAACGATAACACAAGGCATCATCATATACAGATAAAGACAACCCAACTTTAACAACACTCGTGTCACCGATTTGAAGAAACGTGACACCTCATCTACTCTTTCTCTTTCAAGCTTCAATCCACCACCGATGGAGATAGAAAATGACCATACCAAAGACATGAACCCCTTATTTCCACAACTTAGTCATACGTGTCAACTACCAACTACCAGCAAAAAAAATTTTTCCTTTTTCTTTTATGAAAAAAATAATAATAAATTTGCCTCAAACAATTGTATACAATCCTTGAGCCACGAGTGAGTAAAATTATAAATCCTCGCTTGGTGGATCGACCTGAACAGAATTAGACTAGACATTGAGTATTGGGGCAAAGATCGGAATTTGAGTCATATACCTTTTGACCCATGTCTAAGTTGATTCAATTTGTACTATTCAGGCCGATTCCGCGGACCTAATCAAGAGAAATTTCGGTATAGATGCCCAACAAGCCGTTTGAAAACTTCTCACAAAAGTATAGCAACAACCTGTCGATTTTGGCGGACCGTGCTACCCCTTGGTGAACTGTATTTTGATCCTACTCAACTCCACAGTAGTCCGATAGGTGTGAGAACTCTCCTAGTTATACAACTCTACCGAAGTCTCTCTCTCTCTCTGATTAGTTCCGATCGAAACATGAAACTTTAACAGCGAGCCTTACTCAATTATTTGAATTTTTGCTTATCCAGAGAAATTTTGCAGTATGTTAGAAACACAGTCCCGTACATGCAATTAGTTGAATCCATTTGTTCAAGTTTCCAATCAATTGTTTTACCACACTTAATGTATCAAACCGTGTTCCCAACACATAGAAAATCTCTATCCATCCACAAGAAAGTCCACCTACGTGAAAAAAAAACAAGACCGGCATCTACAGAGCAGCAGTCAAATTACAAAACTGTAGAGACGGCAGCACTTCACTTCTTTTTCAAACAACCAAAAAAACATCACCAGAATATTCACTCACATCTGGATCATCATCATCATATGCCGGATTCAACCAATTACCAAACCTAGTAACTTCCTGACCACCTAAAGCAATGGATTACAAAGAATGTGATTGAAAAAATAAACAAATACACACAATGTCGGCCAACTCCGGCATGAAAGCACGTCGTCGTTAATACAGTTTTATCCGGGTTTGGATTGCGCTTCGGCATATTGGGCACGACTGAAGATCTTGTCCGCATTCGCAACATGTCTGCACCGAAAACATAACACTAAGAACACGGTACTAAAAATATGATCGTCTCAACTCATCTTGAAACTATAGTTCAAAAATGTACCTGATGCCCGCAACCAAAGGCCATGTCTTTCGGATTCGTAAGGCAAATGGGGCAAACCTGTTCAACACCATATAAAATTTTAACCCACGAGAGCGCTACAAACCCATCAAAACAGTATTTAGAGGTGGCTGCTGAGAAGTTTGCATACCTGGTTATCATAGGAAGAACTGGGAGCAGGTGGAGCTGTACCAACGGAACTGCTGTCTCCATAATAAGGAGGAACACTTGGCTCGTAACTGGTATGGGAAGGTTTCGTGAAAGATGGCGAACTGAAACTGGTAGCACGGGAAGTTTTTGAGCTGCTGAACGATGACGCTCCATACACAGGAGGGGGGAGAGGAACCCTCTGGGGAATATCGCCCTTCCGACCACTGTCCATTTCAAGAAGAAGAAATTTAGTAAAAAAATTACGTAAACACAGGTTTTCAAAAAGGGTTTAGAGATGAGAAATAAGGACTGCATTGTTACCCCAATATATTGAGCTCTATTGTTGCTTTATACTGAGCAGGAATTTCCATCAAGGCTGCTAGAGCAAATTCCGTCTCCTTTCTTGACGGTGGCACATTCTTTGACATAATTTGCGTAAAATTCACAAACTACAAACAACAAAACAAATGTGCTTCCGATTAAGTATTTTCCAATGGTCATAAACAAAGGATCATGAGTCACATAAACAAAATTGTATTATTATGCTGAGAACTTACTTGGAAATTATCAAATGCCCGAGCAGGAATATTGTCATCAAATTCCTTCATCATGTCCCAGGGCCCATCTCCAACACCAACTAGAATAATTGATAGAGGGAGCTTACTGTGATAAAATAAGCGTAGAAGATAAATAAGGGCCGGTCAAAAAACAACATATATTTAGAGAAAGAGGAAGGGGGGTTGGGGGAATATCACACCTTGCAGCAACAATGGCATTAACCGTGTTCTGTTCCTGAGGGCTCAGCCTGCCATTCTCAGTATCAACGCTTCTAGTGACCTAAGACAAAACCATCACAGTACGTCAAAAAAAAAAAGAAAAAAGAAGGGAAACTTGGGATTACAATAGAATATTTCCACTTGCAAGCCATCGTAAAACAGGACACAGGAGAGCAAGATAAGGAAAGCTCGTTAAACAACTTATGATCTAAGAAGTAGCTAGTGCAGCCACCAGTAACAGATCTAAAGAAGATGCTATTATTATTGCATAACCCGCATGTCTGACCGACCTCTTAACTGATAAAGTTTTTCATGATTCATTTAGAGCAGTGACCATTAGTGTGTTTTGAAACTAAAAATACGAAGCCCACTCCTGAACTGTGCCAGACTCTAAAACCAAAAGGCAAAGAATTTTGTGTAGATGAAACAAGATTATAGCATGGGCGCATGTCTGACCCTCTAATTGCATACTTCACTAAGTACAACAAGAATAAGGCAAGTTACCTGGCCATCTGCAATTATCAACAGGACATGGTATTGGCCAGCACTCTCCTCAACGATGGTCATGGCCTGTTCAATTACAGGTGCAAATGAAGTCGGTCCTGCCAAACATGATAATAATGTAAGATGACTGATTAGATGATATAAATGACCACGTCAAGAAATAAGTACTTGGGAAGCAAGAGTTAAACCTGCAAGCCGTAGCTTGGGAACAATTTCCTTGTAGCGAGTCAATACTTCCTCAAATCCATTGCAATATCTATCATCATAGAAACTAAACACATCTTGATCATGAGTTGTCGCTGCAAAATGAAAAAGTAATGATTAATATTCCATGTTTGAAAGAACAAAATCTTAGACAAACAAATCGACATTATTATGAATAAAACCTTACCATCCCCAAAGCCGAAACAGGGAATGAGATTATCCTCATCAAAAGCAGCCAAGGTTTTTCCAATAATGGATATCGCATGTTCGTAGGGATTTGGCCCATTCCCAATGTGATGCAAGCTTTTTCGGTTAAATGACCTCGCACCTGTTTACACAACCAATTTCAGTATCTTCCACATCAACAACTACAACATACACTAAATTATTATATGGGATTAGATATTAAAGCGCTTAACCTGTCCATTCATTGCTCTTTGTGAAATCAATACCAACGATAAGATTGGAAGACTCGAGACCAGCACGCGCAAGAGCCTCTGTCACCTGAATACAAGTACAGTTGAGTCAACGTAATTAAAAATCGTAGGCAATTAACAAAACTTCAACCAAAAACAGGGAAGCTTGCAGAAGTTTCTGCCGCTGCAGCGACAATCTTACTTCCTCCAGGGAATGGTAATTATCAGCAATTCTGGAATATCTCCTATCAAACGTCTTCTCCTGAGCCCGAGGGGCCGCAGGAGCACTATACACGGGAGCATAGTAAGGCTGTGCTGATTGATAGGATTCCTGGGGTGGTGGTGGATAACTCTGACTTCCTTGACCATATGGCGGTTGAGCATATGACGTTGATTGACCTCCAGGATACCCGCCCCATGAGGAGCTCGAACGAGAAGATGAATTCTGCCTATAGCTCCCCTCTTTTGAACTTCTCCCACCCATTAACTCAAGTCGGAAGAAAACCCCAAAATCTAAAAGGAATCCTCTTTCCCTTCCTTCACAATGCAATCAACCAAACGACTCGAAATCCACACCTACAAAGCAGCCACAACAAAACCCAGAAAACAAAAACTTGGAACTCCAATCAGCACCTACAAAGCAGCCAAAAAAACCCAGAAAAACGAAAACTTTGGATTCAAAATCCGCACTTACAAGGCAGCCAAAACAAAACCCAGAAAACGAAAACTTTGAAATCAATCCCGGCGGGCGTATATATATACCAAGAAACAGAATGCGGAATAGGTAAGGATTGGGAAGTCTCTAAGAAAGTTCGTATCCAGTTTTGCAAATCTGAAGGGGTTCTGGAAGGCTCCAGGAAACGAAGTTGGACACGACTCGGTCGTGCAAAATCGAATTCACAACCGACTCAAACGAAAGAGCCCTACTCTGCTAAGTTTTCTACGTTTGCCGAAATTAGGCGCCAAGTGTCGCCTTCCACCGCAAGCCACAATAATGTCAAAAAGGAAACATTTTTAATTTCTCACCCACCAACCCAAAAACTCCCCAAATCAAAACGTATCGACTTCAATCACTTATCACAATCCAAAAACAGAAATTCATAAATTCTCAAAATTTAAATCTAAAATACAAGAACAAGAGGGAAATACCGAACCGTCCTCAGGAGAATCAGAGCGACATTGTCGAACACACTTAGAGATCTCGATCGTACGTACCTGAAGAAGATGGAGGGCTCTGAAACATGGCGAGCAGTCGCCAATGGAAGACTTGCAGTGGTGAGAGAGAGAGAGAGAGAGACTGAGTTGGTTTAATTAGTAGATTAATGGGGTGTTGGTGGATCTAATTATTGGATTATAAAATATGATTAGAAAAGTGGGAAGCTTTATCTCTACTTTTCTGGGTTCTCTTTTGAATATTTGAATATTCGAGAAATCGGAACCAGAGGAAAATCGGGGGCTGGGCACATGGAAGTTTCGCCGAAGTGGGTACCGCAATAATGGCCGTTACTGTTTTTGGATTCGGTTTTTTGAAAACGGAAAATGGAAAGCTTTTCGGGTTCTGTTTTTGAAAAAACCTGTGATTTGAGTCCACGGAAAGGATGTGGATGATGATGAATTGCGTGGTTTTGTTTGTGGCTGCGACTGTGACCTCACATCCTCAAAAAGGATAATGTTTTCGTTTTGGTGCGTGCCGTCTTGTCTATTCAGTTGTGATTAACGTGTATCATTCTGCCTATCATGTCAAAATTGAAATCATTTTATATCGTATGTTTGTTAGAAAAAATGAATGATTGTGACAACAATTAACATACTTTAATAAATAGGATTTTATCACAAATAATTTCTGAAATTAACTCTTATCATCAAGATGATCTATGAAATTGAAAATCAATCAATGTAGTTCTTGTAAATAAGTGTGGTAAATCAATGTAGTCATTATATTACAATTCTGTTAAAATTTATGTTAAGTGCTGATGTGGCACATAAATGGGCCCCATAAGTCTTTTTTTTCTCACAAATGGTTCTTGAAATTGGCCCACGACATCAAAATGATCCTTGAAATTGACCCGTGACATTAAAATGGTTCCTGAAATTGAAAATTGATCAATGTAGTCCCACAAGTAAGTGTCTCAAATCAATATAGTCATTCTGTCACGATTCTGTCAAAAATTCTGTTATATAATTATGTGACACATAAATGGGTCACACAAGTCTAATTAAATTTAAAAAAAAATTACAAATAGGCTTAATAATTTAATAGTTAATAAAAAAAATTGTCAATCCAAAAATTCAATCCTGCAATCACCTCCGACCGATCCCAGTCTACATTTCTCTACCTCATTCGCTCTATTTCTCTACCTCATTCGCTCTATATTCTCTAAAAAATCTCAATACATCCATTTTTACACACTTCAACACCCTTCACCGAATTGAACCTAGATCAAGATCACCTTTGGTGATAGCTTGGTCCATTGGCAACGACTACTGGGACATCACTGTTAACATTTAGGCAATCAACATCCTCACAACCTTAATTTTGTAGAGCTTGTTCGGCACTTCTCTGATGGTCTGGTGACGCAAAGAACAATGAGGTCTACCTCGAGATAATGAGATTATAATCGAGATGCGTCCATTGTTGGTTGAAAACTATTTCCACACTGTGAAAGCCTGTCCCGAATTATTGTTATCGATGGCGTGAAATGTTTAATTTGCCCTTGGACGTTGAGTACGTTAGTGGTGTTGTGGCTTGAGTTTGGGTTTTAAACTAATTTAGTTAGTTCCTAAGTTTTTTTGGAACTTAAAGTTGTTGGTTTTGGTTGTGATTAGTGACCCAAAACTGGACCACACATTCACACTCACACATCCAAACTCCCGTTGACCTTCTCTCTCCTCCCTCTCTCGGATTTCCTTCCATTTCCGTACAACCGTACAGACAACCTTCAAACCTTCACTTCTAGTCACGGATCGAGGTTTTGGAAGCTATCTTTGTGTTTCTTGTAAGTCCAGGCACTCATCTATACCTTTGGTTGGACGTGAAACCCTCGAAAACCCGAGAACCCAAGAACCCCGATTTTGTGTATTGTTCATGCACTCGTGATTTTGAAGTTTTCATGGAGTTTTAAGGTTATAGGAAGCCTTAAAACATCTTCACGAAACTCGGGGAATAAAGTTGGAGTGTTTTGGACGTCAAGAAGTCCCAGTTCATGAGTTTCAAATTTTGGCCAGATTATTGAGGGTTCTCCGGTGAGATTCCGTGGATTTTAGGGCTTGAAAGTGTTTTCGGCGATCGCAGCGGTGGTCAGCGCCGAACTCCGACGAACCAAGGAAGAATGAGAATAATATTCCGTCAAAGTTGACGGAATATTCTGACGCCGTCAGTTATTTCGCATATAGAGACCTATCCTGAGGACGAGCGCCATCAATCGAGGTTCGGGGGTTACTACCCTTCGACATATCAATGAGTGGGCTTTTGGTTTTCAGTATAACCTATATACTTGATTTTTACCATAAAATAAATTTGAATGAAATTACGTTTTGCATTGCCATACAAAGTATATACCTATTTTAATTATGCATTGGTAGTTGCATATATTTATGATTGGTGTTGCAGATGCACAGGTAAGTTCATAAATTAAAGATATGAGGTTGCTTCAGTTATGTGAGATATGATGTGATGTATTGAGAGCTCATAAACCTGCACCTTGGTGTTAGTGCTCCCGCCCAGAGTTAGGGCACAGTCCTTCACGTGATGTTCACCTCCTGCACCATATGCTCACCTTGGATCCAAGTTAGGTGCACAGACTTGTCATATACCACTTTAGGTGGTTCTGACTTGTAGGTGACCCGCGATCATTCGTACAGCCTTTACGTGATCATAGCACTAGATCATATTTACTTTACACCTAATCTTGTCGTACATACCACTTTAGGTGGTTCCGACTCGTGTGCATGATTTGATTTGATATGATTAAGATTGGTTATGAGCTATATACTTAGCAGTGCAGATTGAGTTAGAGGGATTTGGCTGATGCGATATTTGATATTGATATATTTTGTCTGGATTACTTATAGCATTCCATTGAGATACTTTGGCATGATATACTTCTATGGAATTTCATCTTGAGTATGATTTATGATACAGCTTATAATAATAATAATTATTTTCTAGGAAATTATACAGGTTTTACGGCGAGGGGTTAGAACTTTTGAGAAATGAAATGAAATGATTTTGAAATTTTTTTTTTTTTGCCCATTCACACTTTCTGTTTTGCGCCCTTCCAGGTTTTAGATAGAAGTGTTTTAGTGGATCACGAGGACTTCGACAATGGTTCTGACAGAACATCATAAATGTAGGATCACCGTTGAGTGTTGTATAATTAGCATTTGTCCTGTTTGACCGCATCTAAAATATTTATGCTCTGGTGGTGTATTTCACACTCAATCTTGCACTAGCACTCTATCTTAGCTAGTCCTCTAGTTGATTTGGTTTTCGTTTATTCGTAATTCCCTTATATATCTATTGTTTCCACACTATGCATATGGCTACGTCACCCTCACGTGACGGCCATCATGCCATGATTTAGGTCGGGGTGTGTCACACACACCCTCTTAGGCCTTGGTTAAATCTTGTGCCTTTGAGAATTTATGGAAAGGATCTCTCTTCGGAGCAGGCTGTACTATAAGAAAAAAAATACTCCATTGTACAAAAAGGTATTCAGATAACTTTTTAATTAATTATTAAACCACGCATTAACACATAACAACTTTTTTTTTAGAATTATGGTGGAATGATCATAATGATTTGTGACATGTATTTTCAATTACTACATTGATTGATTTTCAGTTTCAGAGACCATATTAATGGTGTGGGTGAATTTCAGGGACTATCTTGATGATGTGGGTCAATTTCAATAACCATTTGTAATAAAAATTTGTAAATCTTGTAAGGCCTATTTATGTGCCACATCAGCTCTTAAACAAAAATTTTAACATAATTGTGACGGAATGACTAGATTGATTTGCGACGCATATTTTTAGAAACTGTATTTATTGATTTTTAATTTCAAAGATCATCTTAATGGTAAGGTACAATTTCAAATACCATTTATGATAAAACCCTTTAATAAATTGACTCAATTGAATGAGAATATAAACCAACTAAATTCTGCATTTATACCTTTCGAATACGTTGATCATGGGTGTCTGGATTAGTAGATAGAACTATACGTATTTTTAATATACAAAATTTATAATCAAAATTGTTTATGTTCTTAATCGTTCTTTAAAGATTCTATGTGCGAAAAAACAAATCAGATAAATATAATTTAGTTATCTGTGTGTACAAAATAAGTGGACGCTTGTCATGCTTATCATGTAAATGTTAGTTGCTACCAAAATAAACGAAATCTAACTTAATTGAATTTTTATGCAATTAAATAGGAAATGATGATTAAGAAATACGGTAATAAAATGAACGATTGCAATTACAAAATTTGTGTGAGAAACATACATTAATTGCAAGTTGGTGGACAAGGTGGTCCAGTCACGAGAAAGACTAACATGGAACAAGTTCATCGTTACTAAAGAATTCTAGTTCATTAAGACGATATCATGTTTATAATTTTCTCTAAATAATCAAGTATTTATAAACCCAAGTTGTGACGATAGCCTATTTCATAAAAGTCTCTCTCATAAGCCCTTAAAATAAAAGGAAAAGTAATGAAAATGATTTAAAATTTTTGAGTTTTAAGTTTGAAAACTGTGAGTTTTAATGAATATGACAAAAAAGGTGGCGTAAGTGAATGGTACCAATATTGACTTTTTAAAGTAAAAATATGATTTTTTTATTTAAATAAACAGTACCGGAAGTGTTTCGTTAAAACTTCATAAAATAAATGCAAATATTTTCAAATAAACGCACTCACGATGTGGACACAAGTATTTTCTTAAATTTGTATCATTCCGTCAACACCGTCTTTTTCCTTTGGAACCCAAACGGAAAATCCTTCCATCAGATTTTTGTGCGTCAAGGACGGACACAGTCACGGCGAATTGTCAAAGACGGAAGGCCAGGGCAAATTGAAAAAGACTTTAATATTTTTGTGTTAGGCATTTAAAAGGACTTTAACCATTTTCTTTTATTTTTTATGATAATATTTTATTTTACAGGAAAAAGACTTTTGCAATATTAATAATTTTAATTGTAATGACTTGTATTGTCGTATAAGAATCGATGTTGATCGGAAATAACTTATAAGAAGACATCATAGGGTGCTGACATGAGGGGATGAATAAATGTGGCTTACCACTAATTGTTCTTATAAAAAAAAATAATAATAATAAATAAATAAATAACACAACTTGTAACACTGAATAAAATTATAGTTGACTTTTATGGATAACTATCTATCTTTTAACAATGCATTCAAAATCACATCTAGTGGCTCATAAAATTTAAGTTAAAAAAAAAATAAATAAAACATTAAAACATGAAACAATTTTCTTCAAAAATTTCTTTGATCCGCCAATTTTTTTTTTAAATTTGTTATCAAATGATCTTTGTTAAATTAAATGTTAGATTTGAACGTCGTCAGGGTTCGAACG